TTCCATGAATGATATGCCCCACTCCTTTTCCATTGACTTTTAACCCCTAAACCTCTCATTCTAAGTACGACAAAGCCTTCTCTACGAACTTGACCCTCATACCAAACCTTAGAACCCTAACTTAAGGTCTTAGTTTAGTCTACTAGTTTCCGGGGTGTTACATGTAAAAAACCTTTTCTTTATACACTCATGAAACTAGGAGGTGTTCATGGCTGAAATGAACACAACCGTAAGAACCATAAACGGTAAAGGGTTTATTGTGTGATATATGGTTGTCTAGTATACACCAAAGCTCGACAGTTCAAAGATATCACATCTACCAATTGACCGAGTATATCCGACATATGTTCACTACGGAAAGTTCAACAGGAAACCTACTTATCCAAACACAATTAATCATTGCTTGTAAAGTACACACTTGTCCGTGCATTCCTTTATGTTATAATCATTCCCCATTCATGTGGGAGATTGTTGGGTATATAGCAAGAGTTTATGGGAAATGGATGGAATATGAAAAGAGGAATTTGAAAGGTTCTCTTATGCTTTAGTAAAAAGGCATTTCTCCCTCATTGGTGGTGGAAAGAAAAGTTGAATTGTTTTTTGGTAAAAGGGTTGGAAAGAGGGACCCCCTTGGCGCCATCGTCGTCGTTGCTAGCTCGGCTCGGCTTCGACTTTGGCTTTGAAAAATGATCGATCGAGAGATTATTTGTCACGACCTGAGAGCACCCCATAGTTGTAACACGGCGTACTCGACACCCAAGAGGTCTTATACAAGCCTCATAGCTCATTCATTGCATAAGATACTTGAAAATAGAGAAGAATTAAAAACTTTCCTTTACAATCGAAGACATTTTATTAAAAAAGCAAGCGGAAGACTTTCTAGACTTTGTACACTATGTCTCAAACCATCTACTACTTTGAATACAACATTGGGACTTAGCCCATACAAAGCTTTAACAAAACTAACAGACAAGACTTTCTAGACTTTGTACACTATGCCTCAAACCATCTACTACTTTGAATACAACATTGGGACTTAGCCCATACAAAGCTTTAACAAAAATAAAAGACAAAAAAGGACATAATGGGTATTGTCTTCTAAACTATGAGGACTCACCAAGTGTTCATCTTCAAGCACCTTAGAAACTTATCCATCAAGCATAGAACACCAACATCTCCGAAGCCTACACTTTGGTCAAAAGGGAAAAGAATGGGGTTAGAATATTAGATGTACTAAGTATGATGACCATGCAAAAACATGCTTAAAAAGGGACATTTGATTGAAAGCCATACTTTTATGCCATTTTTGTAAAACTTCATGAACATTGATACAAGAAGCATAATATAAGCCACAACCAACATACAAAGTCACATAATTCACATTTAGTCAAAATCAACTATACAACCCTTTACCTTCACCTCGAGCCTTCACCTCAAGTAACCCTCAATCTATACCTTGTGCAATGTATGGATAGTGTCCCATACCACCACCCACACTAAGGTACCACCTTAAGGTCACCAAAAGTGAACTTACCATTCATCCTTCTCACCTTTACACAATAGAGCATATAAGACACATAAACATCACATGAATCACATCATCACATTAAGACCATCATCTAAGACAACTCTAAGTCATACTTGTGCAATGTACAAGTAGCATCCCATACTACTACTTACACTAAGTACTCCTTTGAAGTCACCATAAACAAGGCACATTCGTATACAATAATTCATGACAAGGAAGTAACTCATAATACAATCCAAGTATAGCATGCATCTTTACATTTAAGCATATAAGAGTCAACATCACTCAATAACAATCATTTAGAGGACTTTCAACAATACTCATTAAGACTTAGAGAACTCACTATAGCCCTCTTGAAGCCTACTCGTGCCATGTATGGATTGCATCTCATACTACTACCCACACTTCATAGAGCTCCTCAAGAAACTATAATGCACATCTCACATGATGGGAATAAGCGTTTAACTGACATAGACCATGAGAGCTAGATCATGGAATCCGATGTACTGTCACACATCGTAAAGGTTGGTCTACTTGCCTAAGGTAAACCGGTATATAGCTTAAGTGGATCTACTAGCTATCCTATGTGGGCACATAGTTAAGGGACACAGAGATTTCTACTAGATACCCCGCCTCAACTCACGTGACAGCATCCATATCAAGAGATTTCTACTAGAAACCCCGCCTCAACTAACGTGAGAGCTTCCATCTCATTCAATATCCTCTCGGTGCTTAGCCTACATTCCCATAGAGTTATTTTACCATTCATCACATTCAGGGATAAGAGATTGTTACTAGACACCCGCCTCAACTCACGCGAGGGCATCCATCTCAACCCAACATTCATTCATTGGATAGCTCATAGATTCAAAGATGAGAATAGCCTTTCATCTAAGAACCCCATTATAGTTCATTAGTGCAAGATCGAGAATATCCTTTCAATCAACATATCATTAGCATTCAATAAAGTACAATTGAGAATAGCCTTTCAATAGACTCAACATTCATTAACATCATCATTAACTCATTCATTCATTCATGAAAAGGCTACCAACATTAGATCTACCAATTCAAGACATTAAGACATCAAGTCAAGATATACTCATCATATAAGAAAAGGATTCCTAAGCCTACCAATTCAAGAGATCTCATTCAACATTACATTATAGAACCCTTCACATTCCATCATCAACATTCATTGGTGTTAATAGAGAGATAACATTCAATCCTAACACTAATTAGCTTCTAGACAAGATCATAATTCATTCATTGAGATCACACACATGCTTCACATCACATTCATATATACAACATCATCATGATTACTTCAATTCCTCACACTATGCCTTCAAGGCCATGATCACAACATACATAGGAAGTAAACACCTCCACCTTTCAAGTGGATCAACAATTCAATCACAATTCTAATACATCAAGTAATTAGGTCAAACTTACCCTTTCAAGGCTATGATCACAAATTCTCAATTCACCAACAATTCACCATAATTAGACATAGATAATGATGCAAATCAATAATATAAATCAATCTACACACAAATCCATCATCATTCATTCATAAGCAACAAACCCACTTCATAAGGCCAAATTTAGGAATTGAGAGAAATCATGGGTTCATGGAGTAAAATCATCTTAAATCATCAATTAAACATCAATATAATCATAGTTTATCATTTGAAAACGTTTGATGCAAGAACCCATGAGATTGAGTGAAATCTAGGTTTTTGAGAAACTTGAAGACTTTGAAAACTTCTTCGAAATTGACTCTAGGGTTAAAGCTAACCCTAGATAAAGGATCACCATACCTTATACTTGAAGAATCCCATGAAATTGAAGAAGAAACACCTTGAAATCCCAACCCTAGCTTGAACTTGACCTTGATCTCCAATGGAGTTTCTAGAGAGAACTTTTTAGGAGGGAAGGGTTTTGATTTGAGGAAAAGTGAATAATGAAATCTAAAATACCATTTTCATACTCTTAAAATACCTTAAAACACTTAAAATAATCGTCCATATATTAATTAGGACTTGGGGTGAATTTACCAACTCACCCCTAGCTTGGCCGAGACTGCACCACAAAAATAGTGCCCATTCATGCCCTGGACTCACAGACCGTGCTGCTGGTCCGTGGTCTGGGGCTGCAAGTTGGTTTTAGGCCTCTTGACCTACGGAGGCCATCCACGGGGCGTGGATGGACCTACGGGGCGTGAACCCCATCCGTAGGTCACCAAGTTTTGGCCAACTTGATGGTTTCCTTGGGGTCTTGGGGTTTAGAATTAGGGTCCTCCTCAAGGACCCTTAGGGTGGTCCTTGGGAAGTCGTACCTTGACGTCTAACCCCTAAACACCACAATCATGGCTCGGGACAACATCAAAACACCTTCAAAACTCAGGACCGCACAAACGCACACACGTTAGGCTCTAGTTTCACTAGTTCATTTTTAGGGTCGTTACATTATTTTTGGACAAAGTTTATTTTAATTATTTAATTAATTAATTAAATTAAATTAAAAGGTCAAAACGTTTTAATTTATTTAAATAATTAGCTGAAATGACCCGACCCAAACACGGATCCGCGCGAAACATCTTTCCTGTTTTATTTGAACTTCCCACCGTTGGAGATGACTGTTCTGAAAGGTTGCAACTTTCAGGAACAACCATGACCGTTTGAAAGGTTGCAAATTTTCATCAATGATCGTGTGGTTTATGAAAGGTTGCAACCTTTCAGAACTAGTGCTTCTTGGCTATAAATACCTTTGATTTTATAGATGTTTTACTTATGAAAATTTATGAACTTCTTCTTCTTCTACACAAATTTTTATTTGTATACTTTACAGCCGTTGAATGACTCGCTGACACCATTGTTTTGGGTATCAATATACTGGTGAATAAAATCATTCTATCATGGAAGGAAATATTCCAATTCAAACCTCGGATACTAGAGGGAAATAATTTCTTTAAAGGGACACTGTGCATTCAGTGAGTTCGAGTTTCTTTCCATTCTGTTTCATACGTTTTTTACAGATTCTATCAGTAGTATTGATTTATAATACACATTGCATAACAATAAGCATTTAATGTGAAGTTAATTATAATTTTAAATAGTTCAAGGAGATAACAAACTCCTATGAAGTTAAAATATGTAGTTGAGAATTTAACAATAGGTCGGGAGACTATTTGACTACTTTTCTCTACGGTTTAGTCCTAAATAGCTAATGTAAAATCTGTACGTAATGATTGAATGAATACCCAGAAAATAGGAAAAAATTTCATTGTTTTTTTAAAAATCAAAAGAAAGTCTGTTTGCGAATATTAATCCTCTAGTTTGTATAATCGACGTGTGGCCTTTTGAAGAAAGCAAATTGTTAGAGCTTTACACGTGTATTAAATATATATACAGCGACTAGTAATTGTCACTCTAAAACTATGTCATGTTCTCATAAATATAAAAAATATGGGAACCAACATAATCTAGATATCTCAAAAACCATACTATCAAAACAATGAAATTAAAAATAGTATAAAAAATAATTAGGATTAGAGAGAGAATCATTTTGACAGAGCTGATAGCAGAGGCAAAGACAGAGACCAAGAGATGGAGGAATATTACAATGGAGATTCATTTGGGAAAGTGAAAGAGCGCTTCAAAGATCGATCCAAGGTACGGTACCTATAATACAAAACATTTAATTTATTAATTAAAATGATGATGAATTGATTAGAGTAATTGATTTGTGTAGAAAACGAAGGAGAGAACGAAGCAGATGTTGTCCAAACAAGCCGTTAAGATCGCTCAACGTGCCGAGGAACATGAACCATTTATTAACAAGGTCTTCCACTTAATTAATTAATTTTCACTCCTTCTTGTACCTAATTAATTACTACTCTTGTTAATTAATTTGCAGGTGACTCATCTCTTGGGAGTTCTTGGCTTTGGAGCATTTTGCTTTATCTTGGGTGCAAGTCAGTATTTGCTTTATTCATTCTTGTCTTATATATATATCCAACTAATTTTATATCCAATATTCGTCAGGGCCACAAGATATTCGATATGCTTACTCTTTCTTCTATCTTATTTTTGTTCCTCTTCGATGGATCTACTACAGATTCAAGAAATGGCATTACTATCTTCTCGCAACAGTTTTTCGCATTTTCAGTTGTGCTTTCCAATTATTTTAATGGCATAATACATGAATGTGTTATTCAATTTTACACATGTTTAAGGGTAGAAATTGGAGGAGATAGATGTTCACGTGAGGCTAAGTTAAAGGGCAGATTAGTGTATTAGGTCACTTTTCATGAGTTGTGTGGTAAAGGTATGCTTTTGTATTAATTTTATACACTTTATCCAACAATAGTTGTCCACGGTTAGCTTGACACACCCCTTAAAAGACTAAACTATAAATAGAAATGTAATTTTTACTATATGATCCTTTGCATATAATAATATACAATGTCTTGAAAAATGTAATAGAAAAATGACTATAGTTATGATAAGGATAAATTAGAAATTAAGTGTAAATATTATTCATGAATTTCATAAAATAGAAAAATATTGTTGGACATCTATTTTTAGTATAGTGGACAAGTATTGTTGGACGGAGGGAACACATATCTCAAATTAGATTGGAAAAAACATAATGGTTGGTTCCAAGTTCCAACAGGAGAGAGGACAATATTAATTGTGCCCAGCGCTAGAGCATCATATTGATTTGCTTCCACATTTTGAATTTGCTTTTGTTGTTGCTCAACTTTATATTGATCTCCGCTCTATTATTTGATCTCCACTCCTGACTCCCGTAACTCAGCTGATTGAAAATTACTGGAAATGACTATTTGTTTTATTTTTTCTTCTTGTTTTGTAGGACTTTTGTTATTATGCAAACACAATTTTCATAATCATGCTTCTGGGTTTTCCTACTAATGAGACGTTTTTCATGGTTTGTTTCTCGTTTGCAGAGGTATGTTTCTATTAACACTAACTTCACTTTGGAAGTCTTAGTTCTCTTTAAGGAACATTAAATACAACTGCAGGGTCCGCTAGCCTGGGCATTGATCGTTTGGCGCTGTAGCTTAGTTTTTAGTTCAGTTGATAAAACTGTCAGTGTCTTCATACATCTTTTACCTGGTAAGTGGGATTCCTGCTCTACAAATTTAGCCTCTTTACTACACAAGTCAATGTATGGTTATATGCTCCAAAATAAAATTCTTAATGTTAAAACAGAGTGCCTTGTTTTGAAAGAAACATTCTTGACTACAATTCATTCAGTTTTTTTATATTGTTGTTTGCATGTCCCTCAAAAAATCACATGGCTGTGGTTTGAGATGAGCAATATAATATGAGTCGAATGTAGCTTGTTTTGTGTTGGACTGTCCATTTTGGGATTTTGTTTCTCTCATTCTTAGTCTCGGGAGTATAATCTTGGCGATACTAAAACTGTTTTTTTGTCAAAGCTAAGATTGCTTCTGGAGGAGTATCAGGAAAATGGTGTATAAGGTCCGAATAAATTAACTTCTTCTAGAATGCATATTAAATTCACCCCTACTCATGTCTTGGTTATCCTCATTTCATCTCGAAGTTTGTGTTTTAAAGCCAGAGATAAAGAGATCCTATTTATACATATTTGTTTGTTCTGTGGCTGCTACTACATATTATGTAGAATGCTCACACACTAGATCTTCATTACTTGTTGAAGTCCGTCAATTGCATTGAAGTAGCTAGGGAACTTAATTTGACATTGTGTTTGAGGTAGGCTCTCTTGGTGAGCACCCGTTCTCTCTGTATAGCTACGAGGAAGGTTCAAACCCCGTAGGTAGCATCCTCTTCTACGAGGTGTTCCCATCTCCCTTCTCTATGTAATAACTGTGAAACAAAATACAAATTTTGCCTTTGGGATTTGGAAGATTTTTTCGAGATGTATATAGCTATGGGCTATAGAGTTGTACCTACCGAGAATATACTTGTGATTATCAGGGTTGGTTTTCTTCACAATATGGTGGTGGGATCCTGTGTTTTTTGGAGCTATGCATCCAGAAGGGACTCCAGAAAGAGCATCATGGCCTTATGTAGAAAACCAATCGTACCTTTGGAAATGGTTGTTTTTTGTTCCATTAGCTGCTTACTTTTTCTGGCAAGTTCTCTATTATCTCATTGTAGAGGTCCTACGTCGACAGAGACTCTTGCGAGACCCTGAAGTTATGACTTCTTACAGGTAATTAATTATTTTTGTCAACGTACCTCTTTGTTTTCTTCATCCTTGTCACAGTGGGTGGATTCAGAATTCTACATCCATTTTGGGAACTTGTTATATTGACAGGGAGCTCTCCAAGAAAGCAAAGAAAGCGAACAACATGTGGTGGCGTTTAAGTGGTTTGCTTGGTGATCAGAATCGGTTGCTTATGTTTATTCTCCTCCAGGCTATATTTACCGTGGCAACTACCGCACTCACCGTGCCCATATTTCTATCATATAAGTTGCATATGGTGTACCAAATACTTAAGGTCTCAGCATCTGTATGGAACGGTGGAGATTTTCTATTAGAAGTGATGCCAAGACAGGTGATTCTCAAGGAGAAGAAGAAATCCGAGACTCGTGATGTTACAGAACAGCAACATGAGAATCCATTGCAGGAGAATTCCATGAAAACACCCCAGTAATATTAGAGTAGTAACAGTCTCTGAGTTGGATGTTTCATAATTAGGCTCAATGTTAGTTGTTATTGTCTCTATTGCAACTCTTTATAAGTTAATGGATTTAGTGGAAGAATATATGAGCCAACATTTTTCAGATTAGTCACCACATCAGAATGTGTAACCATTTTTTTTCTACATGAAAAAGGAGAATATAAATTAGTATATCCATGATACATAATGTTTTGTGTTGGTGGTGTTCACATTTTTTTCATTGCTAGACATGTTCTGTCGTTCTAAATTCAACTTAAGGTTGTGCCGGGACTACAGACGGTCATCGCTCAGCTTCTACCATTGTTAGGGGATATGCAACACAACCTAATGGGGCCAGAGTGTAGCCTGCCATTGCAGGTCCCCAGGTAGAGGTACCACCAGCACTTGTAGCTGCTTAGCGTGCAGAAGTTGAGGCCGCCATGTCATTGGAAGAGTAGAAGATGTTAGGCCGATTTTTGTTATTACCTGCTCGGAGGTTTGTAAGGGCTACAAGAAAGGATGCTCACGAGTTCTTGAACAATTTTCGTGAGTGATTAAACACACTAACCTGGTAAATCCAGATGGGTGGACTACACGGCTTATCAACTAGATGGATCTGGCAGGCAAATGGGTGGATTGCACGGCATATCAACTAGATGGATCTGGTAGGCAATGGTGACGTTCATACATAGAGTGTAGACTAGCTAGACACATCCCCCGACTTGGATGCAATTTTTCGAGGCCTTCTTGGCCATGATCGCACCCCGCATTATTATGGATAGACTTGAGGGATCATATCTTTAGGTTGGAGCAGGGCTGAGTAAAAGACTCATTGAGCATGAGCTCTCCAGGCACGCTATTATGATTCTTCCCACTAAGAAGGAGAGAGTCTATTGTTTTATCCAAGGGTTGAGACTCTCACTACGAATTTCTACAGAGTCCTTAGCATCAACGGGTAGGTCCTTTGTCAATGTAGTTGACCATGCCTGGACTATAGAGGAGCTCCATCGTGAGGCCTATGGAGGAATCAATAAGAAGACTGACTTTTAAGGTAGCTATAGTAGGTCCCGATCCCTTGATAGGGGATTTTCAAGTAGAGGTCAACTTTCTTATCAGCCCAAGGCAATTAAGCTGACCAGTTCAGGCATCACTCCAAACTTTGTGTCGTGGAGGCCATGATGGATCTGATAGTCTTCCTTCCATACCTTGGGGTGATAAAGGTTTCTTTGATTGTGGCAAGGTTGGACACTATGTTAGATATAGCCCCCAGTGCAGGGCTGAGGTTCCTCCATGTAGAGGCAGTGCTTAGGGTCGTAGGGGTTGTCATGTAGGTGCTTTTAGCTTCTTTTAAAAATTAATCATTTTAGCTTAAAATATGTAATGCTTCTCATAGTCATTTGCTTTCTTTTGTGTGCTTTTATTGTTCTGCCTCTTCCTGAAGCTTACGTGTAGTATTTGCGGTGTGCTGGGATGGGTGACACATTTTCCAAGGTGGTTGGGAGTAAATTGTGTGAGTTTTCACCCTTTTTGAGAGTTTCAAGTGAAAGAGTTGATCAATCTAGAGAATTTGATGTTGTATGAGATTTCTGTCAGTCCAGAAGATCCATTTTGGGCTAGTAGCAAGGTCAGTTTGGGTCTTGAGGTCTTTGGCGTGAGTTTGAGCCATTAGGAAAGAAGTTTTGGAAACTATGGCTAAGGGTTAGCTTCGGTCAACATTCTTGAAAATGTGTTTTTAGATGAGGATTCCATTATCGTGGTAAGCTCTAGAATGCTGAGTTTGGTCTAGGACGACCTTTGGTTCAGATCCCAAGGTAATCAGAATGATTTTGTCGCATTTGCATTTTGTTGTTTTACTTACCTTCGTGTAAACACGACTTGAGCAAACATTACATCAAGACACCCTCGGTTGGTGGTTTTGTCAATTCTATTGAGTGCACAAATATCGATTTTGGTGGCGTAGTATAGTTCACTTGCGTTCACAGGGTTTGAAAAGAATCATGGGACCTCGTCGGGGATTTTTCAAAAAATAAAGTGAGCTTATGCAACTGGTGCTGGGCATTTTCTCATCATGACCACGAGATAGAACCACGGGATTGCAAAGATCAACTTGCATGATCGGCGTGACCATGAACTTTGACCCATATGATTGGGAGGGGTGGTCAATGGACCCGACCCCCTTTAGTGAATTGCGATCACAACCCGTGGTCCTTTGATTGCGATGAACACTTTGAGTTTAGTTCTATTAGTGATCATGAATTTCAGCATGCATATTTCAAAATAACCATTTCCTTGTGGTGATTTAGAGCTAATTTCATGTAGGTACTTAGTGGAAATTGTTGTTTGAGTGTGTGGGGATATAGTGTGGGTCGTTAATAGTCCGTTTAACTTATATGTTCCGTTCGATTATCCTCTTGAATTGTCTTTTTGATATTTTTTGGGCTATGTTATGATGGGACTTATTTAGGATTGTCCGATGCTTCGATAGTGCTCATTTTGGAACACAAGTTTATTAAGCTAATTGGGACCTTTTGACAAAGTAAATTTGTGATTCCACACACTGGTCCCATGATCATAGTTCAACCTGATTTTCCATTCCAAAACTTTTTATTACAATTTGGATATCGTTCAACTTTTTTGACGTTCTTATCGCTAATTTGATAGTGTGGCATCATTTGGAGGCCCTTCAGGGAATAGGTCTTAGTTTCTCCTCTTTAGACTTGTCTTAGTTATATTGTATATATATTGAGTAGTATTAATCGTTAGGAGGACTTAATGATAAGACTTCAGGGTTGCATGACCCTTAGGGGTCGTTTGGTGTGAGGGATAAAAATAAATAGTGATGGGATTAATTTTTTGTATCTTGTTTGCTTGCCATGTTTGGGATAACTTATCCCACCATTTATATCATAGTGATGTGATAAGTTATCCCATATACATGGTGGAATAAGTTATCCCATGCTAGCTAACCCCAGGTTAACTAATCTTGGGATAACTTGTTCCCAACCAAACGACCCCTAGAGTATATTTATGACCATTTTCAATTTATTTAACATAATGTTTAGTCGATAAACCTTAGTTAAGGTTGATCCTTATCTTTGGTTGTTGTTATAGCATCCTTAGAATTCTTCGCGGTGGCATGAAACATACATTTTTGTGCATCGTATTGGTTTGGTTGCTCGTGTGCCCCTTTATGTCATTTTCAAGCTTTTGTCGCTTATTTAATGTATTTTTGGGCCTAAGGACTTAGACTTGGATTGGCTCGAGATCCAGTTTAGTACGAATGTATTGTGATGGGGTTTACCCAATTATTTATGTGGTGTGATTTCTTTAAAAATGGTTTGACTTTTTTTTTAGTGTAAAACCATGCTCACGACATTTGCATTTGGCATGTATGTATCTTGAAACAAGGGAAAGATGTATTTGAGACGATAACACTCAAATTATTCGTAAAACAATTAAACAAGTAGGCAATCGTTAGCAATATAATAACTCGACGTATAAGGTCAGAGTTGAATTCCACAAGGAACAATTTATCGGCAAAAGAAAAGATAATGAATTACAAGCTACTAGTTTGAATCCAAACGAGAAATACAATAATTATAATATGAAGATGGTTTGAGTAACAAGAACGATAGGGGCTAAAGATTTTTCAAGAAAGATATCAAAGGGAATTAGGGAATGGGAAGCTAATTGACATTCAAACGACCCATTAAAACTCAATCCCATGCAAACTCATTCATGGGTAAAATCATATATGCATTGGAATCACAATTATCCACCTATTTCTTTCGAACATAGGCAAATATATATCAACTAGTTCTATCAAACCTAGTTAAGTAGCAAACAACCAATTCAGTTATATGCATTGCAAGGAATCACTATTTCTAGCTATCATCCTATATATGAGTTATTACACCTCAAAAATTGCGCTAATCAACTTTAGCCAACTTCAATTGATTCTTTCAAACTCAATCAAAGTAAATGAGCAAGTCTAAGGAGTTATCAATTCCATTAGGAAAGTAATTTAAGTAAAAATGGGATTTTAGGATCAAAATAGTGAATTTCCAGTTCTGCCCAGCCGCCTGACATTTGTTCTTCACGTTCACGATATCTATCCCACGTGATCGCGACGTGTAGAAATTTTGAATCACATGATCATGATCTCTGACCACGCGATTGAAAGGTCTCCAATTTCTGTTGACCGCAATCGCTACCCTTTGATCACACGGTCATGATGACTAAGCACCTGTCAGTTCAAATTTAGCCTTTTGTCCTCTTTTTGCCTCAATTTCACTTGGTTTCTTTAAATATCTTTTAATTCCACTCTTCACTTCACTTTCCTGCAAATATGAAGAAAACCACATTAAAATCAATAATTCTCATCCTAACAAGATAAAATATAAGCTTATAGACAAGATAAGTTGGCAAACATACCCATTTATCACACCCCAAACTTAAATTATTACTTTTCCTCAAGTAACCTAGAATCACAACATCAAGAACCTATTTAATTCAAGCACGCCAATTATCCCTTAGACATAAAAAAAATGACTTCAATTTGTACTAACAAATAGTTGCCAAATGCAATACTTCCACAAATAATTCCCCTCATTTTCACATTACATCTTCAAGAATCAAGAATAATTAAGTGACAACAACTCAAACTCAAGAAGTGACTCAAACTTATTAGCTCCTTCACATGCTCATTTGACTTAATTAGGATTTTTTAAATCACCACTTTCTCAATTCACATGTTCTCACAAGAAGTAAAATGTTCGAAAACACTCATCAGGTATTTACAAGACAAGGGACAAATGCATAAATACTCACAAAGAACATCTTATGCACATAAATACCTCACTATAGACTTACCCTTATTTTCAATCATCATTGATTCAATATCATTCGGTCTGAGATCACAAAGGACTTTGTCAAGCTTGTAATATAGGCTTAGGGAAAGTTAGGATATCATTTGGATAAAAGTGACTACACCCTCCTTGAACACTACACACGATAATTCTTTCATTCTTCAATTTCACCATCCTTTCTACTTGACGTTCTTTATTTTCCTCGGTTTTTACCCCACGGAGCGGTAGCTTGTTAAGATGACCCACATGAAACAATTTTGTACCTTTGAGGTTTCAGTTTTCTCTTATTATCTTTCCATCCTTCTTTTTCAAGATTTTCTTTAT